ATAGATATATGTCAAGGATCAGAACTAAACTGTTTTTATTAGGAAGCGTTTATTTTTATTTTTATTTATATTTTTTATTTTCTTTATTTTTTTCATATTTAAACGGAATAGCTTTATTTGAGAAACCATCGGTGTTATTCGGACATTTAAATCTTCTTGTCCCGAATCTTATGAAAAGTCCTTGAAGAAAAAAAAATTATTTTTCAAATCATGTACTGAGTTCCAAAAGAGAATTTACATTTCCACCTGGAAAGACTGACACACAGAAACGCGGCAGTTTAAACAGTTTTATTGATAAGAGAAATTTGTTTGGAGCTCGAGCCGCGGCAGAGGACSTGCAGTGAACTGAGTGAGAAAAACAAAACATTATGAACATTCATCAGTTCAACAATTTCATGCAGGTGCTTATCCAATGATTAAATGTTTCATCTAAATCCTCCCTCTGATTTATAAAATATTTTACACACAGACGTGGGCTGTTTTCAGTCTTCAGTGGTCCATCTTCCTTCGTGTTTTGGATGTCTCTTCTTCAGCACACTTGAGGTCAATGAATGAGTGATCAAGGAGCTGCTGCAGAACCTGAAGAGCTGCTGTCAGTCACAGAACCAGGTGATTTGAATGAGACCTCCTGCAGCACGCAGAGGGACGGGGGTGATTTGGAGCAGAGAAACAATAAAAACAGCAGGCCGCAGTGGAAACATGATTCTGGACCAGCTTTTTTATTTGCTCTAACATGAGCTGTTTAAATGTCAAYCTTCTAAGTGTATTTATCTTAGAAATAATTATTAGTGTATTTTGTTTTTACACAACAGTTTTGGATACAGACTGTGAAGTTAAAATCATCCTGATATGACTTTTTTTTTGCTGCAGCTCCAGGAGAAAAAGCTTTTCCTCCTCCAGCCTCACCTGCATCTTCTGAACGTTTTATCTGAGGTACCACTGAGCTGCCAGAGAGCATCTGGGCACGCGCAGGCAGCACCAGGTTGGATGAATTGGATCAGAACATCTACGATATATTTGTGTTTTTTTTTTACTGAAGCCAAGGCATAAATTCAGACTGGAAGACTCTCCACCTCACCTGCTCCATCCAGTCACCACGTCCCGCTCCCAGCTGCAGTCAGTCAGCATCAGATCCTAGCCTCACCGTACCAGTCAGCTCACAGGGATCCAGGTCTAAAGGCCCAGCACCGAAGAATTAGTCCGCTCTCCTGACGCGCCCACCTCCATCTTCATCTCAGGCTCTTCCTTCCCTCTGGCCTCCACACCACCACCAGTGTCCGAGTCCCGGGGGGGAAGACGTTATTCC